AACTTAGCTGCTGAGGTCCCTGGTCCCTCCATTTTGAAGACCGTTGTCGGTGTCGGGGTGTCATGGTGTTGTCACATTCTCACAGTCCTCTTTCGAGCAGGAGGACAAAATTCATCCTAGGACAGATGTCTACTCCTGGCCCTACGTCAATTACAGAGCAAAGTGTGTTTGGACAGAAAGGTAATTTTAAAATTTCCCACAAAATTGGGTCTCAGCTGATGAGGTGGTTGCCAAGAGAAGCAATGAAGCTGTTGTTCTTGGGTCGAACATATTGAATTCCAGAACAAAATTAACATTTTGATTGTTCTGAATCCTGGAAATAGTGCCACCAATCAAAAGATAGATGGCACACATTGTTTTCAGCAACTTTCTCAGGAAATACAATGAACAGACTAATGGAAGGAGATGAAACACTGAAGGAGGCTTTCTGACCCATCATGCTGTTTGAAAGATCAGTTCCACTGCCCCCTGCTCCCCTTGGCCCACCATCCTGATAATTTTTCCTTTTCAAATATTTGTCCAATTTTCCTTTGAAAGTTACTATTGAATGTGCGGCACGGTGGCTCAGTGGTTAGCATTGCTGCCTCACGGCGCCAGGGACCCGGGTTCGATCCCACCCTCGGGTGACTGTCTGTGTGGAGTTGGCACGTTCTCCCTGTGTCTGCGTGGGGTTTCCTCCAGGTGCTCCGGTTTCCTCCCACAACTGGCCGTGTTAAATTACCCCATAGTGCCCAGGGATGTGCAGGTTAGGGTGGATTGGCCGTGCTAAATTGCCCGGTAGTGCCCAGGCATGTTTAGGTCGGGTGAGTTAGACATGGGGAAATGCAGGAGTCGGGGAATGGGTCTAGCTGGGATGCTCTTCAGACAGGCGGTATGGACTTGTTGGGCCGAATGGCCTGTTTCCGCACTGTAGGGATTCTATGACAGCCACCCTTCTGGCACTGTGAGTGGTTTCTCCCAACCTAACCCTAACGAGAAGCCCCTTGTGACTTTGCGCTCCCTGGTTAAAGCTGCTCCGCTCAGGAGAACCGTTGCGTTATCTCCCATCTCGCTCTCCCCGTCTCTGCAGAGAGGAGTCCCTGGGGCAGAAGGGGGTTGGCACTAAGCTCGTTGTTCTCAAGTACTCCTCTTCTTTCCCCCCCTCCCCTGTAACCCACAGGGACCCAGGGGGAGGAGTGGAGATGACCGTGTTTCGGAAGAATAACACCACACCGCCCGTGCGGTGCAGCTCGCAGCATTCTGTCTTCGGTTTCAACCAAGTGTCGGTGAGTAGTTCCACGGGGTGGGGGTGTGTGTGCGGCGGGGGAGGGCGATGGTTGGAGAGCCCGAGGGACTGTGTCACAATTTGGGGGGGGGGGGTGGTGATGTTGTGAACAGGAGTGGGGGTGGGGACTGAGCTGTTTGTGTTCTGCCGCCTTGTGCGGTCCATCCGAATCTGAATGTGGCTTTTATTTTCTTTTTACCCGTTTTTCAGGATTTATTGCCTCACCTGGAAGACAGTGCAACCTCTAAAGGTAGGGAGGGAGGGAGGGCGGGGCGGGATGGGGTGGGGGGGATCTGTTCTGTTCTAACGGTGAAGTGACTGGTCTAGTGATGCAGAATCCGATTCCCACAGGATACCAGTTCTGGATCCCGGCGGGTAGAATTTATAGCTGCTGTCAGTAAAGGAAACGCTCCACCCCCCAACCAACCCGATTCATTAACATCTTTCAGAGGGAGAAATCTTCCACCCCTTTCCCGGCCCGGCCTACACATGACTCCAGACCCACCCGCTACGAGGGTTGGGCTGTTGACAGCCCTCTGAAGTGAGCGTGGCGCTCTGCTCAAGGGCGCTTAGGGGTGGGTAGCACATGGCAGCCCTGCGCAAATCGAACTATGTTTACAATGGTTCTGCTTCCTCTTCTCGGAGGTGGGGAGGGGGCCGCAGTTCCGTCATTTTCGCTGGTCGGAGTTGCCGCTGTTTGGGAAGAGTGAGATGTCAAATTGGCCTGTGGGTCGTCTGTTTGGAGCTCAGCGCCAAATTTGCAGTTGATGCACTGCACTCGGACAGAATATAATCTAAGTGCGAGTTGATTGGCGAGGGCTAAGTTGAGGGGCAACTCTTGGTTATGTCCCCCTCACCAGGTACTGATCAGCAAAGTTCCCTCTGAACCACGGGCGCTCAGCCATCCCGCACGTCGGTGTGCTGACGTGGTTGAAGATGTTGACTTCCACTTCCAGAAATTGCTGGCATGCATGGACCTCAGTAGAATTAAAAAAAAAAATCCAAGGGGACGCCAGTGATCAGGATCAAACCTTGTACCCCGTTGTCGGTGGTACTGAGATGAGGTAGCTTAGTCCAGGCTGAGATTTTAATTTTTGTGCTCGTGGCGCCTTTACTGTAAATTGGAGCGGCTCTTTGAGGTTGCGTGGCTGCATTATCTAAACAGAACAGTCTTGGCTGTATTTGGACCCGATGTTTCTTGTGCGTCCGCAGGGATCAGAGATTTGGTCCGCGAACAAGGCAGTAAAAATGTAATTGTCACATCAGCTGACAGAGAGTTGCTGAAACTGAACATGCTAGATACTACAGGTGAGTCATTGACATGAGTCTTTATTTTTTCTGTCTCCTAACCTTTTATCTCCCTTAGTGGCAAAGTTTTATGCTGGGTTAGTTGGCTTGTGTTGGTAAGTAGCAAGTAATGTTCACAAGGGCCAGGCAGTGACCATCTCCATCAAGAGAGAATATGAGTATCTCTCCTTGACATTTAACTTTGCTATTTGCTGAACGTCCCACCAGCAAGCTGAGGGTTATCGTTGACCAGAAACTGAACTGGACCAACCCATTTGTAGTTACTGGAGCAGCTGGGAATTCTTTGGTGACTAACTCACCTCCTGGCTGCCCACTGTTTGCAAGGCACAAGTCAGGAGTGCGGTGGCATACCTGGATGGATGTGTATAGTGCTCAGGAAGCTTGATGCCACCCAGGACGAAGCAGCCTGCTTGATAGGCTCCCAATTCACCACCTCCAACATGTAACTTTGCCCTCTGAACCGCATGCTACCCTGACCTAGAACTGTATCGGCCGTTCCTTCACTGCCACTGGGTCAAAATCTGAATAATCCAGCTACCCTGCACGGACTTCAGTGGTTCAAGAAGTCAGCGCACCACCACCACTGCTGTCTCAGGGGTGTTGGGCAATAAAAGCTGTTATTGTCATTGCTACTGAGGTCCTGTGACTGAACAAGAAATGTTGCTGTTATCCATTAGATAGCTTGACCTGCCTAGATTCCCCAACTGCCTGCCATGTTCGGCATGTCCACAAGGACTCTTACCGATTTTTATGGATGCACCGTACAAAGCGTCCTATCTGGATGCATCACGGCTTGAGACGGCAACTGGTCTGCCCAGGACTGTAAGAAACTACAGAGAGATGTGAACACAGCCGACTCCATCATGCAAACCAACCTTCCATCCATTGACTCCATCTACACTTCCCCCTGCTTCGGGAAGGCAGCCAACATCATCAAAGACCCCTCCCACCTCGGCTATAATCTCTTCCAACCTCTTCCATTGGGCAGAAGATATAAAAGCTTAAATAAATGTCCTAACAGATTCAAGAACAGCTTCTTCCCTGCCGTGATTAGACTCCTGAATGGACCTATCAAAATTTTAAATCTGATGTTGGTCTCGTTCTTTGTGTACCTTCTCTGTAGCCACAACATTGTATTATTCCTGGCTCTGTTTTATTACCTTAATGCACTTTGTACGGTATAGACTGCCTCTACTGCAGGCAAAACAAAACTTTTCACTCTACCTAGGTACATGTGACAATAATAAATCAATTAACTTCCTCGCTCTCTCTGTGGCTCTCTCTCATAATAAGAGTGTTAAATAACCCCCACTTGTTTATTCCCTGTTCCAATCCCCTCAGTGGACAAACTTTTCCTTTCCTCTGCATCAGATCACCGTTTGCTGAATGTTACTAAGAGCCAGTTGTCAGTTTTCACGATGTTGGTGCAAGGGGTAAATATTGGCTCCAGTATGCCCCAAAGAACTCCCCTGCTCTACCATTCGTGGCTGTTGGGATGTAGGGCAAGCAAGGGCCTTTTGTTTTTTAACCATCTCACCTCTGCCGGTGTATCTCCTTCTCAGTATCAGCCTGGGAATTGGAGTTCAGTCCTCAGGCATGCAGACTCGAACCCAGGGCTGTGTGGGGGGGGGGGGGGGGAGAGAGAGAGAGAGAGAGAGAGAGCACACTGTCTGTGAAGCCATGGCTCGTACCTAATCATAGAGACATTGCTAATCTATCCCAATGTCACAGCGACAGTGAGACAAAATGGGCAGTGAGGAGGATGCCTAAGCCCTGTCTGTGTAATGTCAATATAAGATAGTCGCCAGCAAATTCAATGGGGATTTTGGGAAGTAGTCTTTACCCAGAGTGTAGAAAATGTAGAATGAGGGGAGGTGATGGCCTAATGGTATTATCACTGGACTATTAATCCAGAGACCCAGGTAACATTCTGGGGACCTAGGTTCAAATCCCACCACAGCAGATGGTGGAATTTTTATTGAATTGAAATCTGGGATTAAGAGTCTAATTGCTCATTGTTGATTGGGAAATTCCCCGCTGGTTCACTAATGTCCTTTTAGGGAAGCAAACTGCCATCCTTACCTGGTCTGGCCTACATGTGACTCGCAGCAATATGGTTGGCTCTTCACTGGGCATTTAGGGTTGGGCAATAAATGCTGGCCTAGCCTGTGACATACCGTAAGTGAATAAAATAAAATTAACGTTGATTATACTTAACGGGAAACTGGATGGACAGGATTAAGCAGGATAGAGTGGGCAGTGCAGCTCATTGTGTCTCTGTGCTGCCTCTCTGGAAGAGTGACCCCCATCAGCACCCCCCGGCATATCCCCACGTCGCTACAAATTCCCTTTCTTCGGATAATTGTCCCGACCTCTTCCGCATGCAGTACCTCACTTGAGTCTGCCTCCACCAAACTCTCGGGCAGTTCATTCCCGATCCTAACCACTCGCTTGAGTCTGAGAAACCGAAAGGTTTCTCGCTCTGTTCGCCTTTTGCCAAATGCCTCCTGGTTTTCGAGCCTTCCACAGGTTGGGGACGGTTTCTCTCCACTTGCTACGTCCTCGTGACTTTGGAGTGCCGCTATTAAAACCCCCCTCCACTTCCTC